TTTCGATGATGCTTTCACTTCTACTTATGTCATCGGCATCATTACCTTTTTTACGGTGCATTTTCATTTTCCATGAAATCCGCTAGATTCTCATCATTACTCCTACTTCCTAGGAGGTCGTGGGTTTTCACGTCTGCCATAACTACTCCTACTCACATCAATGTTGTGCTTCATAAACTTACAAAAACGCTTCAATCGCCACCACGCGGACGTCATGTGTCTGATTCAGTACATGCAATGAGAAGCTTATAAATACCCCTTTCCAACTCCTTTGTTCTTCTTCTTCATTTCAACTTCTTTAATAGTTCCTTGCTCATGCAGAACAACAACCCCTTTCATTCTTTTTTATAAAAACTCTATTTTCATCCATGGCTACCACTCAAGCAACGCCCTTCAAATTCGACACTGGAAATAACCCATTAGCTTTCACAATCGTACCAAAAGATGATGAGGACGTGAGAGATTATATCCCTGAGCCTCCATTGTCAAATGAGAAGATTGCCATTTGGGCAAAACAGGTACTCACCCCTTATTCTTTGGATAACAAACTATATGCTTTCTTGGGACCCTATCCCACAAAGAGGCCGCATGCTGAGAAATCACACACTTCTTCTCAGGCTACTCAATCACTTTCTCCTCTGTGTTTGAAAAAAAGCTCTCGACCTATCCTTCATAGTTAAACCTACTCGTGCGTTTTGATCTACACCACCTACTCCAAGCAAAGAGTATATAGCCTGGCTCGATAAGGTTCAATCCCAAAGGAATGAACAATGGGGAAAACTGGGTATTTGTGACATGGTTGACATCTCTAGGACTGGCCCTAAGTATAACCTAGACATATTGTTGGCTTCAATCTTCTTTTGGGAAGGATTGACCAATACTTTCCAATTTCCCTGCAGCATGTTAACACCGACTTTGTTCAATGTAGCCTCCATCACAGGCTTAAACCCTTTAGGCGCAACCTTCACTTCGACCCTAGAAATCAAAAACAAATACACCATCGAACGCTTTAGTTACAAAAACTTTATTCTCAACAACCATGACAAAGCAAACAACGAAGTCTCCAACCAGGAGCACATAGCCTTCGTGACTTTTTGGCTATCATATTACGTCTTTTGCTCTAGTTCTCTACAAGTGGCCAAGAAACTTGTTCCCCTAGCCATCCAGCTTCATGAATGTCTAAAGATCTCTTTGAGTAAAATCCTTTTGGCCAACCTCTACCAATCACTTGGTGAGGCCTTTAACAAAATGAAGCACCTCCCTGAAACCAGTAACTCATTCCTAGTTTTAGGTCTCTTTTGGCTCTGGAAACTATTGTTGAACGCCACTTTCGAACCAAAACGTTATGTTGAAGGTGGAAAAACACACAAGAAAGGGGGTTGAATCATGTGAGACAAAAATGAAAATTGGTTTTCTTTTCTTTTTCATTTAGAAGAAGATACGATTCTCAGTAGTCATTCAGAACCAGATCGTAAACGCAGCAGAACTGAAGCCAGACGCAAAGTAAACAACACATAAAACACATCAAATTTATACTAGTTCCTCCCCCAACTAAGAGTACTTCAGTCCGCTTTCTTAGAAAGAGATTTTTACTATTGTAAATGCTTGAATACACTTGCTTATGTATTTAAACATAAGACTTTTATAACACAGACTTACAGTCTGAAACTTTTATGTTTAATCAGATCTTGATTAATATTGTTCCAAGGCATAAGCCCTTTTTGCTTCCCTTTCTCCTTTTTCTAATTGTCTAAATCTTGACAATTTCCTTTTCTTAGATGCAATGATTTCCTTATCTGAGTTGTTGTCAGATCTTTCTTCTCTTGTCTTGGTGGGAAGGATTTTAGCAGTTTTTCTGAGCTCATCAACTTCTTGTTGCAGATTCTCCTTTGTTTTGAACTATTTTTTCGTTTTCTAAAAAAATATTTCTTCCTCCTACTACAATGCTTTCTAAGCATCTCCCATTAGCTTATTTCTTATAAGTTTTTGAACTTTCGTTTCTTCTTTAGTCTCTTCACCATCATCATAGACAATTACCATTTATTTTCTCTTTCTCCTTGAGTTATACACATCTTGACATCTTTCAGGAAACTGATTAATATGTTCTTGAGTGATGGTTACTCCGTACTCCTTTTTAGCTTCTTTAATAAGCATTTTGATGACTTAGGGAGAGTCTTCTTTGGTTATAGTAGGAAAGTTGTTCAAAAACTTCCTATTCTTTTCTCTTTTGATTCTAATAGGACTTTCAATTGTTAGAATGTCCTTTTTTAGTCTATCTTTCATGTGAGCCAAAAGAAAGGGGAACAAGGTGTATCAGATTCTGAATCAAAGACACAGAGTAATGACCCTAACAAAGATCTTAAGCACTTGAAGATTTCCAGGATATTCAGTATTTAGGAAACCTTAAGCCTTATTACATTTAACAATAGTAAAAGAGGATTCTGCATATACAAAAGTGTTGTTCACTGTTGATCTTTGTCAGAACACCTCTATCCTCTTTTGCATTCCAATTGCTTATTGTTACTTGTTCGTTTTTTTTAAGTATAACTTCCGACTACTTAAATAGAAAACTTTTAGGAACTAGTCATTGAGAAATAAGTAATCAGGAAGTACTTTGATCTCTTTTAAAGTACAAGAGATGTTTGAGAAAAGATACACTCACGATCTTGATCTATTGTGTAACTCAATTAACCATTGAGTATTCAGAAGAATTATGTACTCATAGAGTCGTTGAGAGAGGTTATCTATAAAGTATGTCAACACTTCTTGAGCCTTGTGATTGTAGACTCTAGTTGCGAAATTGATTGGACATAGTGGTACTCTTTCTTTAGTACGGATAATCATGAGCTTTGTTACAAATTCTAAACTCTTTATCAGAAGCTATTTTCAATTCCGAGAGTAGAACTAATGAGGTGCTACTTCAAATGCTAAGATAACCAGCATCAAAATCCGTTCCAGAATATCACTTAGCAAAATGTTCTTCTCTACAAAAGCCGCTCATTCACAACAGATCCTGAGTAAGTTTCTTTATGCATTATGATCTGCATACATGAATACACATTAGATAACACCATTTTTCTTTCAATACTATTGTTATCATCAAAACCTAAGTAGAAGATGTTAAGAGCAAATCTTGTTCTAACACATGTGACCACCTCTGAAAATTTAATGTTACAAGATGAAGATAAAGCCATTGAATGTACCGGGTTGGCTTTAATCACCCCCCAAGAAAATCCAATCCTAAGGATCCTCCTAAAGTATATCAACTTATTTCTCGAATCTCCAGTCTTTGATGGATCAGTGGCTCCTTTTGTAGATCGCCTCATAGATCCGTCCTGGCTTAGAAACAAGTTTCATGGTGTTTCCCCTTCCACAGTTGCCATGTCGAATTCGGTTTGGGGAGCCTTTCTCACCCTTACACTTTTGTCAACAAGAATCAAAGTAGGTGCTTCCGGTTATGGCTTTGCTCGTTACTAGCCTAACTTAGTGGTGAGGCAATTTGTCTTTATCCAATTTTAACCTCATTCTCTTTATGTTTGGGAAGAAGACATTTGCTGGCGGAACACAAATTCAACTTTGAAGACTACAAATCTTGCGACACTTTCGTCCGCGACCAGATTCTTGAACTTCCTACCTTCCAATTCCAACAATCATTTTTCATGACAATCGAATTCCACAACTGATGGACGAAGTATTTCAGTAGCCACTTGATTCGAGTCAGACAAACACATGATTCGAGTCAGAAATACAAAACTAAAATTCAAAATTTGCATGTAATTTTTATTCGAGTCATGTTATTTTGTGATTCGAATCAAGACCTCCATAATTCGAGTCAAACTTTTGTATGATTCGAATCTAAAATACATAAGCAAAATCTTCTTTTCAAATTTAATTTTTTTATTCAAATCAAACTATTTCATGATTCGAATTAGAAATACATAAAATCAAAATTTGATTTTCACATTCAATTTTTGATTCGAGCCCGTCGATCAATTCTTTAATTTGAATCACACTTCAAAAAATTTAAATTTTAAGAAAAACAAAGTTGTTATTTAAATAAAGACTTGGTACGATTTGAATCATGATTTCATGTGTTTTTTTAGTGCAAATCTTTGACTGATTGACTAAAAATATATTACATCGACTTTAAACAATTAATTTGATTTATACACGCATAAAAAATATTTTTAATTAACTTTAAAATACAAAGCAATTAATTTGATTTATACACGCATAAAAATATTTAGCACTTAATTCTAGAATTAACAACTGTAATCACTAACAAACCAAAAGACTAAATGGACAACATCAAAATATGAAGGACAAATTCTAAAAGGCATAGCAACTTCTTTATTTAGAAGAATGAAACTTGCCATCGTGTACGGTAGAACATGGCTTCTAAAAAGCAGCAAGTGAGTGATATTTTTCTTTAGAATTATGAGTCTTGTCATTAGTTAGTGTTGTTATTTATTTTACATTTTTTTCACTTTCTTAAAATGCAAGTAAAAACAACAATTATCAACAAGTTTAATATTACCGTTAATTTTTTTTTATAATTTTTTTAAAAAAATATTATATTTAATCACAAATAAATAATGAGATTAATTATTATATACTGACCGTGTAAAAAATTTTATATTATTAATTTATTACCATCATCCGTTTATATTTCTTTAAAAGTTATTAAAATAAAAATCAAATTTTTTTTATATTCAACATCTATAATTAACTGCCGTCAGTATATTTCAATTAAATTAATAAATTATATATATTTAATTAAATATTATAGTTGATAATGAATGAGAGGTTGATATTGACATGACATGGTTAAGAGATAGTGAGAGAAACATATGCTAGTTTATTTCAAATATTGGTTCAAACTTCAAAGTACAACATTACATCACATATAAAAAACAAGACAAAGTAGTAATCACACGTTGTTACTACTCACTACTACTATTATTATCTACCGGCATTTCCAAAAAAAGTAAAGCCACACATTACTGCAACAATTTATTCTCCATGGCTCCAAAGCTGAAGTATTCATGTTCACACCAGACAGGTAGTAATGTATCTTCTTGATTTGGAGGGACATAAGAATTGTCTATAATATATGGTTCTGTCCAGAAATTATCATTTAAAACATCCATGTATTCATCCATTAAAGGAAGCTCATCAAAAAGATATTTTTCATATGATATCTCCCTAGTTGTTGGAGTGTCTATTGTTTCACTTGAAGATGGGATTGAAGACAATGCAGTTGTAATATTGGGACCACGTTTGTTTTGCTCTTCCATGGTAGGGTTATCTGAATTTGTATCTTTCCAGTTTCTTGTTTCATTTTTAGTGTCTGATTCTGATTTATTATTCTTTGTAAAACGCTTTTTTAAGACAGTGTGCCAATGATTCTTTATCTCATTATCTGTTCTTCCTGGTAAATTTGCAGCTATCCTAATCCATCTGTATAATAAAATTTGTATAATCATAATAAAATTAAAAAAGCTTCAATATTATACTATTTGTAGAAAATAAGCGACCTTTCTTAAAAATTTAAATATTAATAAGTAAAAACACATTATGATTTTATTTATGTCTATCTCGAAGAGAATTTTAGATCGGACTGTAATATTATTGATATGATAGTCTGTGTCTTCAATAATTTGAAACTGCAATATTCAGTAAAATTTAAAATCACATTTTCCAGCATCATGAAATAAATCAAATCGAACAATTTTAACCACCTTCATTTTCAAATATTAAAACATTAAATTGCAAACTTCGTTTTATTTAAAAATTTAATTTTTAAATTTATTTAATAATTAATATATTTAATCTATATTTTGTTCAGGTATATAAATCTCAAATAATAAATTAAGAAGAAACATATAGCATAAAGTATATGGAACAAGTAGAACCTTCATATTAACTCTTGAATAGGACGTGTCATAGTATTATACATAATTTAGGATTGAGTTACAATAATATATAATATATTTTATTTTTATTTAAGATAAATAATATAGAGCCATTTTATTTCAACATTAAAAATTATAAAAACTGTATTCAAAGCTTATGAAATACTCCATCTGTAATAAAATATAAATAAAAAAAAACTTAATAAAAAAACCATAAACATAACCGTTTAAATTTATATATTTTTTTAATTTTTCTAATAAGATTTATAGAAAAATCTAAATAAAATCAATTAATTATTAATTATGAAAAAAAATAAACATAAAACAAATTAAATACAATTAGCATTTAATTTAAATTTGAAAAAAATACATTTTCAAACAAAATAATAAAATTGAATAAATTTTGTTTTTTCATTACAATTTGTGACAAAAAATGAGTGTTTTCTTTTTGTTTATATTTTGTTAGGGAGAGAGTACACAGTAATAAGCCTCTGTCGAACCAGATAATGATTTATGTTATTTTATTCGATCTCTTTGAAATAAGTTTGTGGCTACATTAGGAAGTAATAGAGCATTGACATGTTGATGATACCTATTACCAAGTTTTTGATGAAGTTTGATGATAGTATCTTCTTCTTGTTGAGTAAAATTTCCTCTTTTGATATCTGGTCTTAGATAGTTCAACCACCTTAACCTACAACTCTTCCCACACCTTTCAAGACCTGAAAACATTATTCTAAGATAAAACAAAAACTAGAACAAAACCAACATACAAACATGAACAAATAATTGTTTATATAACCTGCAAATTTAGGTAGTTGTTGCCAATTCCAACATCCATATCTAGTTACATAAGCAATTAACTTCTTGTCTTCTTCCGGTGTCCATGTCCCTTTTCTCAATCCAGTTTTGTCACAACCAGGGCTTCTCACCATATCTTCTCTAATTCCTCGTATGAATGTGTTGTTGGATTTGGTGTCCTATATAAAGAAAAAGATATATTTTTTTAAAAGTTCACTTTTTGGTTTTTCGCTGAAGGTCGCTTCTGTAATTCAAAGCTCAACCACAAAATAAATAAAATTCTTATAAAAAAGTTATTTTATTGAAATTCAAATTCAGATATTTTTTATTGTTTAATTTTAAATGAAACGTATTTGTCATTTGAACTCAATTTGTGTGGTTTTATTAATTGAATGATAGACTGATATAGACAGACACATACACATGTGACACGTTTACTAGTTTAGCTTCTTAGGTTATGAGGACCACACGTTTTGAATATCCACCTTAAAACAAACCAAGCAATACAGCTACTTTCGTGTTGCACGAGATCCTAATTTTCTACGAGATCCTAATTTTCAAAATTCCAAATCGGTAGAAAACGTGATAATAATTAAAGAATTAGATGTCTTTTTGTTTTCGGTAAGTCAGTGAGGTTTTGAGTTTGGTTTTTGTAATTTTTTTGTTTGAGTTTTTATATCTCATTTTTTACGTGCATTTTAGTTTCTAAAGTTAAAATCCGCATATTTTCATACGGATTTTGGCTATAGGGACTCGACGACACGTAAAAAATGAGATATAGACACTCAGACAAAAAAAGATATAGGAATCAAACTTAAAAACTCGCTAACTTACAATGACCAACACACTATTTAAGGCTTAAATAAAAAAAAACAAAATGCATTGATATTATTAAATAAATTATACTTTCAACCAATGACGTTTATATATTTCATAAAATTGTTAAAGTGTGAGGCACATTTAGTGAGAGAGAAATAGAGAATAATGAAATAAGAATTGCATTATTGAATTGAATTATAATAAAACTGAATTGTAAAGTGTCTATTTATATATATCTAAGTAACTTAACTTCTAAGCAACAATGATAACAAACTAAGTAACAAACTCTAAATTCTAATTAACTTTGGATTATATCTAATATCTCAACATCCCCTATAATTCAAGTTGTCGAAACACACTAATTATTATCGATCAGAACTATTTCTAATTTCTTTCTCAAAGTAAGAAACTTGTTGATCTTCAATTCTTTGGTTAAAATGTCGGCCAACTGTACTTCACTTGAGCAATGTCTCACTTCAAGTTCACCTCGATTTACCTTCTCTATAAGAAAATGAAATCTATCTTCGATGTGATTACTTCTTTCATGCAAAACTAGGATAGAGATTTGAGGTTTACATCGAGGTTCTGGGAGAGTTTGCAGATGGCTTTTGATACACAGTTGCATCTGAGTTTTGCTTATCATTTGCAGACAGATGGTCAGACTGAGAGAACTATTCAGTCGCTAGAGGACTTGATGAGAGCTTATGTACTTGAACAAGGAGGTGCTTGAGATAGATTTTTATCGTTGATTGAGTTTACCTACATCAATAGTTTTCATGCTAGTATTTCGATAGCACCATATGAGGCATGGTATCGTAGGAGACGTATGACTCCTTTGTGTTGGTATGAGTTAGGCGAGGGTGTTGTACTCATACTTGAGATTGCTCAGCAGACGACTGAGAATGTCAAGATGATCCAAAAGGAGAAAAACACTTGAGTTCTAGGTGGAAGTCATATGATTTTTTAGAGTTACCCTAGTAACCAGTTTTGGTCGAGCCTTGAGGTCTTAAAGCCCACTCCGTGTTTCGTCGGTCCTTAGAGTTAGGTGTTTTGATTCATAATTTTGAATTGGAATGCTAAGAAAGTTAGAGAGTCCGTGAAGGATATGACACAAGTTTTTGTGATGTTAGATTCGTTTGAAGCCAAAGGTAATGGAATAGTTCGTGATATTCCTGTAGTGTGTGAATTTCCAGAAGTGTTTCCTAAAGACATCAGTGATTTTTCGCCAGAGCGCGAAGTGAAGTTTTCTATAGACTTAGTACCTGGTACTAGTCTGTGTCGATGACTCCTTATAAGATTCTGCTTCAGAGTTAGGTGAATTGAAGAAGTAAATGGAAGATCTACTTAAGAAGAAATATGTTCGTCCCAGTGTTTCACTGTGGGGTGCGTCAGTGCTGTTAGTGAAGAAGAAGGACGATAGTATGAGCCTGCGTGTGGAGCATATGAGAATTGTATTGCAGACATTGAAAGAGAACTAGTTGTACACAAAGTTTCCCAAGTGTGAGTTCTGGTTAAGAGAAGGGAGTTTCCTTGGTCATGTGATTTCTAGTGGTGATATAGTTATGGATCTGTCGAAGATAGATGTTATGTTACAATCGCAGACTCTGTAGTCTGTCACTGAGATTAGAATTTTTCTTGGACTAACTAGTTAACTTAGATTAACATTATAGTTAACTTGAAAGGGTCAAGCCTAGTTTTGGGATATACATTGTGAAGAGTGTTTCCAAGAACTCAAGAAGAAGTTGACGTCTGCTTCAGTTTTGATTTTTCCGAATCCAAGTGAGTCCCTTGTTGTATGTTGTGATGCTTCAAATATGGGTCTGAGAGGTGTGTTGATGCAGAATGGTCAGATTATGGCTTATGCTTCGAGACAACTGAAAGTTCATGAAAGGAATTACCATACGTGTGATCCTGACTTGGCAACAATGGTATTCGTATTGATGATTTAAAGGCACTTTCTGTTTGGCTCTAACTTCGAAGTGTTCAGTGATCACAAGAGTTTGAAATATTTATTTGATAAAAGAGTTGCATATGAGGCAGAGGAGATGGCTTGACTTCTGAAGGATTATGATTTTGATTCTATTTATGATCTAGATAAAGCCAATGTTGTAGCTGATGCGATAAGTAGGAAGCCTTTACACGTGACAATTTTTACGATTCGAGAGTTAGACCTGACTGAGCAATTCATATATATGAGTTTAATGTGTGAAGAAACTCCTAACAGTGTAAAGTTAGGTATGTTGACGCTGACGAATGGTATCCTTGAAGAGATCAGAGATGGTCAGAGATTCGATTTGAGTTTGATAGATCGTCTCACGTTAATCAATCAAGGTAAGGAGGTGATTTCTGAGTTGATGAGAATGGTATGATGAGGTTCAGAGATAAAGTTATGTTCCTAATGTAACTGAGCTTTGAAGGTGAGAAAAACACATGAAGGGGGTTGAGTTGTGTATTCCAAATTGTTTCTACTTCTCAACCAGAGTTCGGATTCTAAACAAAAGTTCATAACCTAATAACAAGTGTAGCGAAAAAGTATACAAAAGTAAATAAAAATAGAAAAGAACACATAATAGTTATATTGGTTCCTCCCCAACTAATTGTAATCCAATACCCTTGTAGCACAATAGATTTTCACTATAATTAAACAAATTACAACTACTTATACACTCAAGTATAAGACTTTTCTGCTCTGGCCCTCAGCCTGAGACTTCCTTGCTTAATCAACACCTAATCAATACTTCCTGCTTAGATCCTCATATCCTTAGGTTCAAGACTTCATGCTTAAGCCCCTCAGACCTAAGACTTCCTTGCTTAGACCTTCAATCCAAGACTTCCTCCTCATATTGCTCGAACCTCAAGACTTTAATGCTCAAGCCCACGACAAGAGACTTTTATCTAAACTGACTGTTTAGATAAGGAATAACCTACAATAACACTTGATTAATAATAAGAGGTTTTCAAATATAATACAACACACTTTGAAACAAAGGATTCTTAAGCTATACAAGAATAATAACTCTTAATAGATTATATTATCTTGAGATGATTTGAATTAAGTGCATGTATATTTCAGTTGTAGTTGAAGCGTTATTCTCTTAGCTGATTTTCAATTCTTCTGCTCCTTTTATAGCTGAAGGATTAGAGTCGTTGAAGCATCCCCAACGACTATAATCAGCTCAAATATTGTAGTACACCTTCTTTTCCAATAAATCAGGTGTTGAAACTCATAGAGAAAGAATTACCCATTGAACATGACCTTTGTCCAGAGAACTCTTTTATGAAACAAGTACCACACAATCTTTTGAAGATAATGTCAACCATTCTCGAGTCCCGTGATTACAGAGTTTGAGGTGACATTACTCAGTTCCAGAGATAGGTAAAGCACGCTTCTGATTCTGAACTATAATAGAGATATCTTTTTGATCAGAACCGGATCATAGCTTATGCCATGTCAAAACTAGTTTTACCAAGTAAATATAATTATGCGCATAAGAACCAGCTAGTTAGAAATCCTAACTATTTTTCAAATACTTTGTTATCATCAAAACTTTAAAGGATATATGGTATAAGGCATATTTATCTCAATAATCTCCCCCTTTTTAATGATGACAACCTTAAGTATTTTAAAATAATTAGTTGTAGATTAATTATTCAACAACTTTTAGGGTCTGAGGTTTGTAAGCTCCCCCTGTGTCAAACAATCTTAGAGGTGAGGTTTGTAAGTTTCCCCTGAGTCCTATTTGTGAAGTCTAAGAGATGAGGATCATAAGCTCTCCCTATACAGAGTAATTAAATTTACTTCAAGAGGCGAGGCTTGTAAGCTCCCCTTAAATATGATAACTAAGTTCACTCCAGGATTAACCAAGAAGAATACTTAATCCTTTCCCCCTTGTCATAAAAAAAGATAGAAAGAAAAAATAGACTTCGGTGATTAATAATGATTTCTAAACAATTCATAATTGAACACCAATAAGGAACAAGTTTATCAACCAGTCCTACTTGTTGCATATGAGCAACAACACCCTGTTGGTCAAAAATCTTTTAAAGAACCTTATCAAAAGGAATGAGAAATTATAATTCCTCACGAGATGCAAGTATCTCTTCTTTCAGATAATTGAACATGGTTTAAGGCAGATTGATTTACCTGTTAATCAAGTTTATTATGTTCCTTACCCTTCAACTCAGCCACCTAAACATGGATGATGTACTGTAATCAAAACAAAATCATTGGGTCATATTGAAACTGACGATCTAGTGGAAGATGTGGCTTACCAAGATGATGAAATTTCTCAAATTAATAATGTGGTTGAAGTTG